AACTTCACCCTTGGTGTGACCAAAATTGAAAATGTCACAAACTACACATACCTCGGGCTGAAGATAAATGCCACTGGCAAGCTAAATTTGGCTGTGAATGAACTGAAAGAGAAAGCAAGAAGGGCCTTTTATGCCATCAAAAAATCTATCCAAATTGAAATAGAATCTGGCTCAAAATATTCCAATCAGTCATAGAACCTATTGCATTATATGGCATTGAAGTGTGGGGTCCTCTCCTAAATCACCAATTTGAAAAATCATATTGAAGCCCTGCATGCTGAGTTCTGTAAGAGTCTCCACACACACAAACCAAACAACACACAAACACACACCCACAGACACAACCCACCACACAACACACCCACCACACACACAGACACACAACCCACACACAGACACACACCCAAGCACAACACAACACACACACAAGCACAACACACACACAAGCACAACACACACACAAGCACAACACACACACAAGCACAACACACACACAACAACAACACAAAAAAATGAAGAAGACAGATGACGAGGTACAGACTGAGCAGCCATACTCTGACTCTAGAGACGGGCAGATATCCACAGCACTGGCTGCCCAGAGAGAGCCGCATCTGCCCTCACTTCACTCACAGAGCAACCCCTCCTCACCAGCTGCCCCAAACACAACACACACAAACCAAACACAACACACACAAACCAAACACAACACACACACACACCACACACAAACCAAACAACACACAAACACACACCCACAGACACAACCCACCCACCACACCCACAGACACACAACCCACACACAGACACACACCCAAGCACAACACAACACACACACACACCCACACACACACAAACACACACCCACACACACACAAACACACACAAACACACACCCACAGACAACCCACACACACACAAACAAACACACACCCAGACACAACCCACACACACACAAGCACAACACGCCCACCACACACACACACACACACAGACACACACCACACACACACACAGAC